CTTGAACGTTGGAGGCGGCGATATCAAGCACTGCAGCAGAAGTGCAGCAGCAATTGCATCGGTGGCTGTGCCCGGCTACACAGCCTTGCCGTCGTCAGCATCTTCAGGCCTGAGTCTTCATATCTCTGGAAGGCCCTATGTGGACTAAGAACTCATACAAACTCTTAGCCTCTGAGCCCTTGTTGGTCCAAGGCACATCATGTCGCAAGCGAAGGCCTGGTTGCTGGCGCAGACTGCCCGAACAAGTCAAACTTTCTGCCTATGCCTGCGGCCTGCGGAGTGAGCTCCACATCCAACAAGGCCGACAGTATAGCCAAACAACCACCAACCAAACAGCAGGGCACGCATGTCCTCGGAAGAAAGCAACAGGCGATGCAGGTACTTTGCGTGTTGAATCAGGCAGCCAACGCAGCGATATGGATAATGATTTTGAGAGTTCCAAAGAAATTGATTTTGTAAAGATGCGGGCACGACGACCACACACATTATTATGTAGTGACAATGCAGCGTTTTGAGTACATAATAAGACTGGTTTGGCCATGTCTCATATCACAGAGTAGGCGGAACCTGAACAATTACCCACTCCTGGCAAAAAAACTTCTTGCAAACGTGTGTGACTAGTTAAACTGCTTAACTCGACCTTCTGAGCACTTCCAAGCGCGGGACCCACACAGCGCCAGGCACAACTGCCAGCGCTCAGCTTCGCCTTCCAATCCCAACCTCAGCAGGCGCTTTGCCGATGCAGCTGCATACCTCCAACAGAGACTTGACGATGACTCGACGATCAAGTAAGCCCGGGTCACGATCCAGATTGCCTTGGGAATAAAAATGGTTTCATGTTCAAGGACCACCTACTGACCTACACGTGGGAGAATGTAAACGTTCTCTGGCTGGAAAATGCAGAACAGCGCCAATAACACGCAGTCCTGCACTTACGAGCATCCGTTCTGACAGTCATGCAGTCTGCCAACACGTCCGAGTTGCGCTGCCAATACCTGTTGCCACAATGAGCAGGGCGACACCCACGACACAAGACCAAAGCCGCATGGCACATTACAGTCCTTGTAAGTTCTAACCACTACAACTCAGGCAACCTCACACTCATCGCATTTGCAATACATCGCTTTACCGCCATATTACCACAAGCGTTCTGTAGTTTAACATGACGTTGCACTTTGTAGCACTAACAAACATGCTCATGTTTGAGTGTAAACTCGCAAGTGCTTGTGAAATGGCAATCGAGACAGCTCTCGCAACTTCTTGATGTGATTCGGCCTCAATGGTCGCCGCTTCCAATCCGAAGGTCGACAAGCACAAGTCACCAAACAAAGCTAGAGGCTGTACAAAGGTAGGGCGAGAATCCAAGATGAAACATGGATTGGTTCACAAAGCATGCACTGGTTGAGCTAAAACCCCAGCTCGAAGTTTGATTGCGTTCTGCAAGTAGACAACAAACAAAGAGCAGAACAATAACCTTCAGCTGTGGACGCAAGGCGCAGCACACACGAGGTTGGGTTTGCCCGCTTTCCCTGGTGCTTGTGGCACGTTTGGTTTTGTTCCTCCAAACCGGTGATGGACACTTCGTTTCGTTTCGCAGGCTTCCGACTGTTTTGGGTTTAATCTCTTTGCATTCGTGCTTCTCCCAGAGCATCCATGCCTTTGCCAACACAAACATGTCCCACACGACTAATAGCGCATAGACTCCTAGGTCTCGCAACAAAGGTTTGAACGTTTGGTGTAGTCACGCACAAACCATCATATTCTTCGTTTCGAAGCTTTCCAATGTGTAAGCCTAGGGGCCCATGAAGGGGCGCGGTAAGGGCGGTGCAAATAAAGTTGACATATAGAAAGTCAAGGCTCTTGAACATGACATGTCTTCCAACCTTTGCTACGGTGTGTCTTATCTACAAGATTCTCCTTCAAACACAGAGACATGGAGTCAAATAGCCGATCCAAGAAGTGCAACCATGCACAAAAGAGAAAGAGTTTTTCCAAAGTCTAGCAATTTCAAACCACAGCGGGCACCAAGCCCACAGTGCCTCTGTGCTTGGCTGAATTGCGCAGCATCGGCTGCACCATTGCCAGTCGAACACCAAAAAACGGAAATAAGACCGAAACAGAAGATACTGTTCCACAAGTTTTTGGTGTTTGCCAAACATGTTAGCTTTCAGAAATTTGGCTTTGTTCTTCTGGAGCTGCTCGTCCCTGCAATCCAAAACGCAGAGGCTGCCTGCTTCTTGACCGAGCACTTTGGATGCAACAAACTAAACCTGCGTTTTCTGCAGACCCCAGACCGCGCGAAATGGTTGCTAAAGATGCCGCAACTCCAAGGACCCACTGCTCCTCGCCTTTCCCTGCTTCTTGCTCTTTATAAGCGAAGAAGGCGGTTTGATTGCCGGGCAAGTGCAGTGCTGGCGTGCGGCGATAACAGATAACAAAACATTTGCAGGCAAGTTTGGCCTGATTAAGCATAACCACTTCAAGAACAAGAACCAGTTCAACAAATCCGCAGGACACTGGTCTGTCTGGCGTCAGGCCTCCGCAAGTTGTCCGGCCAGAAAGCTGTGAGCGCCCGAAGCTGGGCCCAACCCCTCTTTAACAAAGGGGGATTCAAAAACCTGACGTTCTCTCCAAACAAAAAAAGAGAAAGCCACACGAGAACGCTTTCGGAGGCAAAAAACGAAGAAAAAGATCTCAAAAGAAAATAAAACCAAATCGGTTTTTCAACCTGGGTTCAAAATCTGCTGCCAAACGAAGGTGAAGCCACACGAGAACGCGTTGGGGCCCTTCTAAACATATAGAAAGCCAACACAAGACCTTTTCTTAAGAAGTGAAAGTACGTTTGACCCGGTTAAACCCAGGTTCGCAAGCTTAAGACTGCAACCGCGACCCCAAAATTAAGGATGGCGGCCCCCAATTTTGTAAGAAAATGAAACCAAATCATTTTTCAAAAACCTGGCCCTTAAGCCTCCCTTTAAGTCCTAAGCTCCCCCTCAAGGCCTTCTTTAGCCTCCCTTAAGCCCCTCTTAAGCACTTCTTAAGCCCACTTCAAGCCGCAACCTCCTCACTTAAACCTCCTTATAGCTCTTGAAGTTTCTGGAAGCCTTTCCACTACTACTGCTACTTCTGCACCCCATCTTGAAGCCCCCTAGAAGGCTGCCAACTTAAACCCTCATTCTTGGCTTTTTGCACTCCGGCCGGGCCAAAAAACCCTGTTCCTTGGCCTATTGCCCCTCTACAAATGGCCAACAAACCTTGGATCCAGGCCCAAGATCTTGCAAAACAGAAACGCACAAAAACACTTTGAGGCATGCAGCTCCTTTGACTACATGTCGGAAATTCAGCACGAACGAAGGATTTCCATTTTCTTTCTTGGTCTTATCGAGCTGTACAAAGAGTGCAACTCGCAAGGATGACAGCTGAGACTGCCATCAACCGCTCCACAAAAGAAAAAAGCCACACGAGAACGCTTTAAAGCCAAAACGCAGAAAAAGAAAAAGGAGCAAGCCACACAAGAACGCTTTTTGTTTGGGTCAAAGAAATTTTTGAGAAAAAGAAAAAAGCGACACGAACGCTTTTTTGGGTGTCAAAAAACAAAAGAACGTTGATCTCGAACGCTAGATGCTGTGGTATGCTGTTGCGGAAAACATTTGCCAGGCAGGGGCGGTTTCCAGCAAGGGGCTTTTTCCTACCAAGGGCTGTGTCCAGACACAGGCGAAACCGGCTTGTTCCCAACCAGAGGCTTGTCAAATTTCTGGGCCTTTTTCCACCGCCAGGCCGTTTCCAACTTGAAGCATTCACAAGCCTTAGGAAAATCCTTCACAGCAAAAGCACCTACTACACATCTTGGAGTCCAACTCACACCTACACCAACAAGCACAAATACCTCGAGGCAGGGTGTTAAGATTTGTGCATGGGAACCTGCTTAGAGTCTCACTGTTTAACTTTTCGGCACTAGTCCGAGCGTTATTTCAGGCATACTTGCTGCTCTATCGGCCAAAGGCCAGGGCACGGCATGGCGGAGCACGACGCTGCAGGATGTCCGTCAAAACCAGTCGCCTTCTTTGAAAAAAGGAATCCCCGCGCATGGGTATTGAATTCGGTTGTAAAATTTGTACACTGTGTGCAGACAGTTCTCGTCGCGTCGGACAACGAGCGACCCCGCAAACCAAACCAAAGTCCATCCCAAATCCCAACTCACAGGGCGCGGGCGACAAGGCAAGGGCGGAAGTTGGCAATGATGAGTGATAGAGGCGTTCTCGCAACTGACCACAACGGCAGAAGCAACGCAACAGCGAAGACTACAAAGCAAGAGCCAAACCAGAGGGACAAACCGGCAGAAGACTCGAAAAAAAACTTCTTCCCAAGAACACAGCCAGGTTTGAGGCCAAGCGAAGCGAACAAAACACGAGGAGCCCCAAACTTTACAGTAGGCCTTCTGCCCGGTCTGGGCAGCTTGTCTACTCGGCAAGTAGCTTGTCTACTCGCAGGGGAGTCACTTCTGTCCAGCTGGTTCCTCTTTAAACGGACCACGTCTTTCCGCTTGGAAACGGCTTCCACACCTCTGCTCCAAAGAACACCTTGAGCCATTTTTTGATAACAACCTCGTTGACAGCGCCAGCTGCTACTGGTCGGATGGGATCGAAGTATGTGTCCGAAAAGTGTCAGCTGTGCTCTGTGGACGTGGTGGGTGATGGGTGGCTGTTCTGTGAGAGTTCGTATCTCTTGTACTTCCAAAAGCACTTAGGACGCATCATGGCTACCGGTGAGTAGCTAGAAGCTAGCAGGCCAGCAGTACCGACTTTTGAGACTCGAGTGCTTTCTGGAACAACCTTATATTGATGTCCTCGTCCGTGAGGAGCTGAAGGCTGGATTTCGGAACATACAACATTAATCATGGGAAACAATTTGCAAACAATTTCAATACACATGTGCACAGCCCAAGACAGTTGTGCTGAACAAGACTCTGACTCACTAAGTCACTAAGTTTATTCAGAAACACACACAAGCCTTCCACACCACCAACTCTGGCACAGACGCCAACCGAAGAACCTCGATGACACAAGGGGCCACTTCCATCTCTGACAACATCTCGTCATTCACGTAGATCACATGGAAGGATGCTTTCCAAGACGACTCCAGATCGAAGTAGCGCTTGAAAGCCACGGTGTCATTCAGAAACACAGGCGTCTCTGGAACCTGCAAAACCGTCAAAGGCTCCCCAGACTCAGTGAAAGCACTTGTGGAATTGTCTTCCTGCAAGAGCATCAAGGTGAGGTGCCAATCGCGGTAGTGTGCAAATCCAACATGCGCCCAAATGGCTTCCTCCACGTGAGGAGGCACATCATCGAAGGGGTGCCTTGTAGCCTCAATCTGAAGTGCACCCAAGTGCTCTTCACTCACTTGCTCCCAGTTGACAGAAACATCTGGCCGCACAGCTGCCTTCTCTGGAGGCAGCTTGGTGAACTTGATGACCAGGAAGCCTTGCTCCATGAGCTGTCGAGGAACAGGCTTCATGGATTTTTTCCCACCAGGCTGTGAGCTGGCTTTGGCTTTCGCAGCAGCAGACTTCGCAATCAGTCTTGTCCGTAAGAAGGGACGAAATAACGCGATGAAGTTGGCATGAAACCTGGCAGCTGCAATGTTCTCGCCACAAAGACACTCCGCAAATTTGCAGCAGGTCTTCTCCTGGAAATCATCCGACCGCACTGCTCCCAGATGGGGTGCATCTTCATGGAGCCGCATTGTAGCTCTGCCCTGTGCATGCTCCAAAAGTTCCTTCTTCAAGCCACTCTGGTCTGCCATACTGCCAAGGCTGCCAAAAAGCTCCTTCCAAAATGGACAAACCCCTCTGACTCCAATCCAACACGAAACCCAGCCAAATACCAAATAGTAACAATAGTATCATTACCACAAACCCTGATTACTTATTCCTATTTTTCAAGCGAAAGTGACAATGATGGGCATGTCCAAACATGAGAGTTCTGGGCTTGTAGATTTTAGAACCTATGACCTCGGACGAGCGCTCATTGTAGAAGTTTGTCGGCAAATTGGTTTAAATCGCACAAACCCTTTAGCAGTAGCACTGCAGCTTGGCAAACATCAAACAAGCCTGCACTCCCAGAACACATACCCATACACAAGAAGTGTGGCAAGCCTCCACAGGAAGTGACAACAAGTCGAACAGGTCTTGGTCTTAGTATCAAACAAAACGAAGTTGTGTAGCAACTAAGTACTATGGCTGCCTTACTGTGAATTATTGTGACTATGTTTATTGAAAACTCCTTCAATAATCAATACTGGCACTGAATGCTCTTATGTGGCCCATCAGTCCGGAATCAGTCGGTCCTTGGCAACCTCGGCAGCTGGGGGCAAACACTCCACAGAAGCATGGAGCCACCAAGAGGGAGGATGCATGAAGCTAAAGGCTTGGTCAAAGCGGGTCCTGGGTCCAGTCTCGCCTGGTCGGAAGTACAAAGTGCCTCGAGACGCTGGCATGATTGCACAGCATGGGCCACCAGGCTGTCGATCTCTTGCTTCCAAACAGCTTGCCCGTCTGCCTTTTGACGTTTGACATCATCCATAGCTTTCTGAATCTTCTTGGCCAAAGAACTGGACATGCCTGCTTTGACAGAAAGCACACCATGGCCAGAGGTCCCATCGGTTCTCACCTTGGCGCCAAACACAGCACTGCCAACTCTGCTGGAACGTGTTTCCTTGCCTTCCAAAAGCGACTTTTTGCAGGTGTTAAAAAGCCCTCCAAAGCCCCACCTCCAAACTTCTTTTCTTCTTTCACTCCCACCGGCAAGAGAATGCTTCCTTCTTCTCAAGCTGTGGAGTTTGCGCTCTGGCTTCCAGCCAGTTACTCCTGCTCTAAACTAGCTGCAAGTGCAAACCAAGGACGTTAGGTCTCAAATGAAAGTACCCTCAACAAGATCGTGCAATTGAAACTTCGCGGTCAACACATCGTAAAAACATAGTGAATCATCGAAAACCTTTGCACTGCCGCCACACAGATGTTTATGTTACACTGCACGCTCACAGGAGAGCAGAAAAACTCTTGTTGGACATAAAAAAACTTTCATTTACAACAGACAAGCTACAGACCAATTCCGCTTGAAGGACTGTGCGAAAGCAAGCAAACCTGTAACAATTTTTTTTCCAGTCGATTTGAAGCCTCAATTAAAGCAAACACGGTTCCAGCATCGAGAAATTGGATTGAACTCTTGGAGCCGTTTCGCCAACCATCGCAAGGTGGAAAGAGTGTAGCAAGTCGAGAAACCCATTTGGATGTGCTTTGAACTTTGACTAGACGCACACAGGTGCGGTTGTGCAGTTTGTTACTGCCCTCATGACAACGCTATTTGCATTTCAAGCCAAGTGTCAAATCTTCCAAATGGATTCTAACGGCAAGGTGGAAAGGACACACAGGATAGGGGGTCCTGAGGGTGCACAATAAAAATCTCGGCCGCTTTTTTCAACGCAAAAACGGCCTCTTCGAGCTTCCTAGATATCCTGAAAGCCCTATCGTGTTCTTCAGACTTGTTTTGCCAAGTTTTGTGGTCCTAAACGGCTTCTTCGACGTTGCGAGATTTTCAGGCTTGTTTCGCCGCT